GGGGATGGGAGGGGTTTCGGGGTGCTGGGAGGTGGCTCTGACCCCCCTCCCCCCCCCTTCGCCATGCATTCGTCTCTGCAGTTCGCCGTTCTGCTCAGCATCATCTTCCTGGTGGAGATCGCCGCTGCCATCGCCGGTTACGTCTTCAAGGATAAGGTGGGAGGGAGCACGTGCTGTGTGGGTGCTGTGCCCTCCCCGTGGCTGCGTTCTGACCCCTGCCTTTGGTGTGTGTGACCCCCCCCCCCCCCTTCCCCAGGTCCGTTCAATGCTGGAGGAGGGGCTGTGGGACACCATGAGTAAATATGGCGAGGATGTGCCACTGACAGAGGCAGTGGACAGACTGCAGGAGGATGTAAGCAACGCTGGACTGGGGCCTGAAGCTTCCTCCCCCGCCTCCTCTCTCTCTCTCCCCCTCCCCATGGCTTAATTAACACTTTCTCGTCACAGTTCCACTGCTGTGGTTCCAACAACTACACGGACTGGGCCACCCTTGAGAGGTTCCGTGCTAATAACACTGTGCCACACTCCTGCTGCCGTGTCAACACCACCAACTGCAATGTGAACCCCACTGCCAGTACCATCTATGTAGAGGTGAGACCCCCAACCCCACCCTGAGGACCCCCACGCTCAGCCCCCAGCGCTGCATGGTGCTGAGCACCCCACCCCCCCTCCCTTTCTCCTTTTCCCCTCCATCCAGGGCTGCCAGAAGGGCATTGAAGTGTGGATGAAGAAGAACATCCTCATCGTGGCCGCTGTTGCGTTGGGTATCGCCTTCTTTGAGGTATGGAGCAGAGCTGAACCCCTCCATGTGCACGAAGGGGGACTGGGGAGGGCAGGAGTAATTCCCACATGCTCTTCTTCCTCAGATCCTGGGCATCATCTTCACTTGCTGCCTGATGAAGGGCATCCGCAGTGGCTACGAGGTCATGTAGCCCCCTCCCCCAGGGGCGCTGTGCCAAGCCCACCCACACCCTGCCCTTGCTGCTCCCACCCAGGGGGGCTCCAGGTGGGAAGGGGAGGCAGGGGGGCTGCTCATCCTGGAGCAGAGCCCCCAGTGTGTTGATTGTCACTGCCGCTGGAGCCCCCTCTCTGAGTGCCAAAAGGGGCTGGGGGACTGGGAAATAAAAGAAAAAGCTTCCTTAGAGCTTGTGTGCCTTTTGGGGGGGGGGGGAGGCTGGATAGGAGTTTGGGGAGGGTCTTGAGTGAGCCCTTGGGTGCTGCCCTCCCCCAGCAGAACAGTGGGAGCTCCCTGCTGGTGGGGGGGACACTGGTGACACTGGGATCGCTGGGAATGGGAATGGGCTGCTCCATGGCTCACTGGAGAGCAGGGATGGTGACAATGTCCCCGTGGGCCTGGGGGGAATCCCACAGCTTTAGGATTTCTTCCTTCCCCACCCCTATCCCAGCACAGCACAACAGTGCCGACGTCTCTGCCCCACGGCCTGCACATCACAATGCCACCAACTGTCCCCAAGCCACACATTCACTGATGCATATCCTAGCACAAGGATGAGTGCTTTATTTGCAGCACTGGGGGACCCCAAGCACGTGCTGGGGTGCTGACAGCCGCTTTAGGGGAGCAGCTAGCGGACACGGTGGGCTGGCTTGGGCAGGATGGTGGCCAGCACGAAGTCAACGATGCAGGCGGGCAGGTAGGAGGCAGGCAGCCACAGCAGCTTGGCATCCCAGCCTGCGCTGTAGCGGGTGCGCGGGTGGCAGGCGCCCAGGGCGTGCTCCATGCAGCGTGTCACCTTACCCAGGTCAGCGTCACAGATGATGTTCATGATGAGCCTCTGTACCTTCAGGTCTGGTTGGGGTTGTGGGAGTCAGAGCTTGGAGGGGGGAGGGATCAAGAAGAAGAGGGGTGGCAAACTCAAGGGGGTCCCAGAGGAAGGGTGGCAAACCCAAGGGGGTCCCAGAGGAAGGGTGGCAAACCGAAAGGGGGCCCAGAAGAAGGGTGGCCAACCCAACGGGGTCCCAGAAGAAGGGTGGCCAACCCAACTGGGGCCCCAGAAGAAGGGGCTGGCCCCACTGTCCCCTCCCACCACTCACACTTGTGGAAGAACTCCTCGCCATAGCTGAGCCGTGTCTCGGGTGCCAGGCGCTCCCAGAGCTGCCGCAGCGACGCTTCGATGCTCTCCAGGTTGGTCACGGCTGTCTTGAAGAAGCCGGGCTCCACGATGCTCACCTTCACCCCGAAGTGGTACATGTCGCGCCTGCGGACGTGCGGCCGTCGGGATGGGGCTGGGGGGATGCGGGGCTGGGGGTTGGGGATGCTGGGACCCACCTGAGGCTGTCGGAGAACGCCTCGATGCAATACTTGGAGACGCAGTATCCGCCACCGTTGGCTGAGAGGCGGCCGAGCACACTGGAGGTGTTGACCACGCGGCCCCGTGCCCTCTTGAGGAGGGGCAGCAGCTGTAGGGTCACCTCGATGGCCCCAAAAGTGTTGACAGCCATCACCTGCTGGTAGTCCTCGATCCGCATCCACTCCGTGGGGCCGATGGGGTTGGCCACCCCCGCGTTGTTCACCAGCCCAAAGAGCCCTGGGATGGGAGTCCCCTCTTAATTCCTGCCCCATAGAACACCCCGATGGGACCCCCAGGCTTCATCCTGCAGCTTTGCAGGGTGCTCCTCCCCTCGCCCTGCAGCAGCTCTCTGGGTTCTCCCACCTTCTGCCCTACAGCAGTCTTGCAGGGGCTCCCTCCTGCCTTGCCCTGTGGCAGCCCGGCGGTGACCCTCCCACCCTACAGCACCTCTCCAGGAATCCCAAAGCGCTTCACAGCATCCCCAGCCCCTCTCTGCTGACCCTTCATCTTCCTCCGTTAGGAAGTCTCTGCTGACCCTGCCTCCATCTCACACCACAGATGGTGCAATCCCTTCTTGCCCCATATGAGCTCTCCAAAAACCCCCTTTCCTGCCCCACACCCCCTCAGTACATCTCCTCCCCTTGCCCCACAGCCCTTTCACCCTGCAGCATCCCTCCCAAGACCTTCACCCTCTCCCATCCCCACATCCCTCTCACCTTTCTCGCCCACCTCCTCCCGCACCCACTCTGCAGCACGCCGGATGCTATCAGAGCGGGTCACATCCAGCAGCGTGGTTCGGAGGTGCCCAGGGCAGCCTCGCTGCAGCCCATCGGCCCCTTGTGGGGTCAGGCAAGCAGCCAGCACACGGAAGCCACGTTGGGCCAGCCGCCGTGCCAGCAGGTTGCCGAAACCGCTGTCACAGCCGGTGATGAAGACGTGTTTGTCTTTGACTGAGGGCAGGGTTCGGCGATCCCTCACCAGCCAGCCCAGGGCCCAGGCCAGCACCGCCAGCAATAGATACAACCACATGGCAGGGGCCTGGAAAGGATGGGGTTTGGTTTTTTTGGGGGGGGGAAGTTGGGCTGTGCCACCCCCCTGCACGCATCGAGCCCTGTGTTTGGTCCCAGGCTCCTGGAGCACTGCTGTGCTGAGCACCCTGCCCTATGCCATCGGGTCAGACCCCCACTATTAGTTTTCTGGGGGGGAGGTGTGACCCTGCCCCACATCTCAGTCCTGTGGCTGCCCTGCTGGAGTGGGGGAACACTCTGCTGCCCCCCGCCCCCAGGCTGTGATCTGTGTCCCCTCCTTCCCCTAGCCCCCAGTGGGAGTGGTGTGCAGGGGATTACCGGAGTGCAGGACCTCAGCATCGGGCTCTGCTGCTGCTGTGGGGGGTTTCAGCTGCTCCCCCCC